AATCAAACCTGTGAGGCTTAAAAAACAGATTGTTCAAGATGAAATGAATAGGAAAATAATATACTTTAGAATTACCTGAATAGAACAAATATGAAACAACGAAATACTATTGAAATCATCACTTGCATTTAAATGAAACAAAATGCTGCTGGTACTCATCTTCATATCTAATGCATAGCTGATATTTTTTGCACTCACTTGAAATGAAGAAGCGTATGGCATTATCTTTTGATAAATAGAAATTCGATATTGCTCTATCGCTTACTTAATTACTTAGTTTTTCTTCAAAACAGAAATCTTTATAGAGAAAAAAGCGCAATAAAAGCAATATAGGATTGCTTTTGCGATATAAGCATCCAATAGGCTCGTGTCATTGCTCAAAATAAAAAAAGGATTGTTATTTTCAATCATCGACGCACTATGTAATGACGACATAGAATAATTTCAAGGACAAATTTTGTTTTTCATATTTGTAGTTTTATTATTAGCAGCTTTAGAAGTTTGCTTCTTGATAAAATCGAAGTCACAGTCTATAGCCAGCCACACTAAATAGAAGAGATCTTCTGTGAAAATAAAGGCGTATCTACTACTCGGAGAATGCGTGGGATTGCTCGCGAGCAAAAAAAATATTTCAATGGTGAAATAGATTTCTGCTCTCTCTGCAGAAACTTGTTCTGATGGCTTGCCCCCTTCTTCAGAAGAATTTTCACTTACGACACTATTTCAAAACAATCTCTTCAATAAAATGCTCAACTCAATCGATTCAGTCGCGTTCAACTCTAGATTGTAATGTCATAAATCAACTCTAAAATTTATTATATTCAACTAGCGAGAACCCGTGCATACTGCACGGCTGTTTTGTCCTTTAACGCATGACCTCAGACATTTAACTTTTCATCCGGTAAAATATATACAGACACTCTATATTACATATATAGACAGATAGTCCTACGGCCTCATACTCTCATATCGCACATATGTTTATAGGCAATGTAGCCTTCGACCTTATAGCCTTATCTCCCTATTGCCTTACTCCCTTCAGGGCCTATCAGTATCACAATATAATAGCCCTTAATGACCAATCAGTATCCCGCTAGGATAGCCCTTGAGGACCTATGAGTAACCCATAGGATAGCCCTTGGGGACCAATGGGTGCCTTCATATAATAGGCATTGGAGACCTATGGGTAGCCCCATAGGATAGCCCTGGCGGAGATATGGGTACCTCCATAGGATAGCCCTGGAGGACCTATGGGTACTCCCATAGGATAAGCCTTCGGGACCTATGGGTACCCCCATAGGATAGCACTTGGGACTTATGAGTACCCTCTTAGGATAGCCCTGGAGGACCTATGGGTACCCTCTTAGGATAGCCCTTGAGGATCTATAAGTACCCCATAAAATAGCCCCTGGAGATCTCTCCCTTAGAGTCTTATTTGACCCGGCACAGAGAAACACACAGACAGACACACACACTGAACATTATATATATAGATTTTATTCTCAACATCTTCCTTTCAGGGTGTAAGTGTTGGTGTAGATGAGTGTGGGTGTGAGTGTGGGGTATAGATGTGGGTGTGGGGTGGGTGTGAATGTGTGGGGTGTGGAGTGTGGGGGAGTGTGGGTGTGGGTGTTGAAGAAGTAAATGGTCACACCCACACCCACACCTACACCAACACCCACACCCACACCCACACTCACCCACATCCATATCCACACCCTCACTCATCCACACCCACCCACATCCACATCCACATCCACACCCTCATAAAATAACATATAATATAGCACGGTAAATAATATTTGTATTATGCTCGATTGATATTCCCTTCGTTTTACACTTCTAATTTGTACTATTATCGCGTTTGATTGTTTCTATCAGGATTAAGTATTCACTATGACTTGAATGCTTTCATATCTATAGAAGCCATGCTCTTTCAAACAATCGCTAAAAATAGAATCGGTGTCATTACTGTCTCTATTGTATTGTGTTTTATTTGATTTACTTTCAATATGTTCGCTATTGTTCATGTCATTTTACCAAAAAGAAAAATTTCAATTTTTAAATCAATATTTGAATTCAATGATAAGAAATCGACGAAATGAGTTTTGCAACTATTGCATATAAGTTTAATAGTTTTAACAGTCCATCTATTTAGTAATTTACAAGTTGTATATCATCTTTTTTAAAACTGCTCGATTGATCATCTTGTTTCAGATCAAGAAGAAAAAGAATTGGGTTGCGGTCATGTGCTGTTTATTTATGCTCTCAGACTGATCTGATCATTATTTCGACTAGTGAACTTGATAGGCTAAATTTGATTGATATACAACTGAACTCGATGGGTTTGTTTCACGTCCTTCTGACTATTTGCATTCGTTATCGTTATAGTGAGATACATCTAAATGTCGCTTACACTTGTAGAGCAACGAAGAATCTAGACGATAGATTTCAAGACTTATTGTGTAGCGGAAAAAATATTGAAAAATAGTTAAATGATTGTGACTCTTTCTCATTTTCTAGGTTTCGCTATGAAGCTTTGACTAGACACAGATTGACACCCAAAAAAAGATTAGAACTCTTTTCAAAGAGAACAAAAATTAAATAATCAGAGAAGTCAAAACAAGTCGACTTTCTTCCATATATCTCTTGCTATTTAAGTATTGTGTTGAGTTTCGATTGACTTTTGTTTTTCATGAGGACTTATCAAATAAAAAGTGTATCGTATCACGAAACATTTATAAATTCTATCTAGTATGCATTCTGTGATAGAACAAATATATAGAAGGACAGCATCGATGAAATGTAAATAAACTGGTTGCATCAAATGTTTCATCGTATTTCTTTTTCATATTTAATGAATATCGATAACAAAATGTTACAAACGAAAAAAAAATGAACGTAGATAATGAAAAGAACATATGCATGATTTTCAATTTTTTTCATTAACTTTATTAGTTGCCAATCGAAGTTGTTCAGTCAGTTCTTTAATCTTGAATTCGTATTGTGCGTTTTTTTCTGTAAGAGATTTGTTGATACTCATTAATTCAAAAATTATCTTTTGCAATCGATTGAAAGGACACGTAGTCATATGATTATAGAGTTGATCACGTGATCCATTCCATGGACAATCCATAGGCGAGGCCAAACAACGTACGATCACTTTGGGACATTCGTTCTTCACGTGATTCATAAATTCATCTCGTCGCATGTCTGTTTTACCGCAAGCTTTACATTTGACTTGAAGACGATTAAGCATATTTGCTATGAATAATACATTTATTGATGTAAGATCCTTTTTTAAAATTTGACTTCGACAAAGTGCACATGATGAATTCTTGTTTAACCATTGTGTGATGCATGACATACAAAAAGCATGTTGACATGGTGTCGATACTGGAGCCGTAAAAGGAAGAAAACATAGTGAACATTTGAGTTCTTTATCGATAAGTTCTTCATTGATATAATCATAGTTCAAATTACGTACAATTTGATCTTCAGATATAGAAGACATATTGTCCGAAATTTATACAATACGTGAACGAACAATGAAGAAAATCAGCAAACGTGTAATATGAACACACTGCACCGATAGAAATGAAAATAAATAAACGAGAAATATTTATGCACGTTGTATATATAGTCAATTTTTATTTTATTCTGTTACTATTATTTTGGACTAGGCAAGGTCGCTTGATTCAAAGATATTCTAATAGATCATAAATATATTGTGTTTTTCTTTGTATTTTCTTTCATATATCAATAATTGATAGTGCTCTTATGGTTTGATTCCAGTTTAATCTATTCTCTTTTTCTAGATTAAAGTTTCGTTTAGTAATCAATGTCAAAGTTTATATTATCGTTTATAGTTTTTTTGTCTTCTACTAATCGTTAGAATTTTCTAGTTCTTTTGCATCGAAAAAGGAATTTTACATAATTTCAAATATTTGAAAATTGCTACATAATTAGTTATTTATTTTCAAAACGTAACTTTCCTAAGATCATTATGACGAAAGTCAAGTAAATTTTTCTAGATTTTCTTAATTATGTTCAAGTTCTTAATAATGAAGAATATTCAGAGTAAATATGAACTTTTTTTGAAGCATGCAATATGTCACCGCATACCGTATTTGCATCAGAATTACTGAAATCATATCCACTAGATTTAAATATTTATAATTTTTTTATAAATTAAGTAGTATTCTTATTCCAACTTGACAGTTTTCACCATATTTTTATGCTATGTCGTTTTCTAGAATTGTCAAATGAAAACCCATGGTAATATACTTTATTAATGTAATAAGAATGTTTACTATAGATCATGATATTTATTGTCTCTCTAATATGTTAAGCGGAAAAAACAGAACAATAGCACAGTACTGTCTTGTGTTTGCCTCTGATCCGAGTCCACATTCTTGTTTACGAATTATATTATCTATAGTTGTCTCAAAATAAATTTATATTAGATTAAGTTACACTCTAAAACACGCAAATAAGAACGTTGATAACGTAATAGGGATCGAATTGAAATTTAAATTAGGATAGGACTCTTGATATTAGAACAGAAGAGACTTCAGTTTTTAAGTTCCTATTTATTGGAAATCTATGACACCGATAAAACATGCTCGTTGTTATATATTACATTCTGTATGAAAAAAAAAGACCAAGGACACTTATTTTATATTGAACCAGGTTTCCAACGAATCTCGTAGTAAATTTCGATAGTACGAGTATATCTGTCATGCTCTGTGAGAATCGTTCAGTAATTCTGAAATAATTGTTTCCATCTCTGATGTACAAACAATGTTCTTCAGTGTAGTAAATAAGGTCAACTTTTCAATTTAAGAGATGATGCATAACAATCAATGTCAAGTGATTCTATTTCCTTTAATTGAAGTAATGATAAACTGCATTGGAATTGATCATATCGAGTAGATGATAAAATTATAGGATGATAGAGGCCTTGTTCTATCAGCAATGCTGTTAGAGAAGATTATTGAAAGAGACCATCATTTTTGTCAGTTAAAAACAATGACAACAGGCCTTTTATAGCTGCTTTATTAAATATTACACAAGAGACGGCTATTTTGATATTTGTTTATAATATTTGCCTCTTGTATGCAAAAGTCAGGTTGACCTTAGGAAGGTCGAAAGAAAAAAATATCGAAAATTTTAACTAATAAGAAATTCTTTATTGTAGTACAATATTAATGTTGCATCATATATCATGCACCGGTTAATAAATAGAAAAAAAAAGAGATAAATAAGTGTCATTTTTTCGATTTAGCGACTGTAACTGACAAGCCATCTAAATGGTCTGCTTGAAAAAGTTCGAAAAAAGGTTAAAATTAACTTCAATGGACAGTAAAACGACGACAATAACAATGGCGAAAGAACAAAATATCAAAAAAAAAATTCTGGAAAAAAAACAGTATATGTATGAGTATGAGTTGAGCACGTGAGTGTTTGTGTAGTTGTTCTTCTTGCAGTTACACCCACACCCTCAAATTCTTTATAAGATAAATAACGATAAAAACAATCTTTTCTTCGGTGTTGATATAAGAATAAAAAATGAAAACACAAATTGTATTAAGATAAATTAACTGTGCTTATTTTGTGTATATATACTGCGATATAAAGAAATCTCTTCAAGCAATAGTAACGTAAACGAAAAAGAAAAACATTTTTTTTCTATCACAAAATATACGTTTGCAGTGAGCTTTATTGTTCAAACGAAGTTGTTTAATTAAAGTTATTGTTGTTCGAGTACAGATAAATTTTGTTTTGAAAATGATAAAACTCCCATTTGTAACTGATGTTTTGTTAGTTTTTGATGACGTTCTTTTCGTCGTTTTAATACTGGAATACCAAATAAAATCAGACCACTTAATAAAATTGAACCACCAAATATTAGATATGGCCAAAAATATGGTCGATTAGTACCTGAAAACACATCACGCATTGTACCTAAAATTAGTCAAATATATTTAACGAAAACTTTTTCTTTGTTGATGTTCTTACCAAAAATTGGTGTTCCAATAACAACAGCAAAACCTTGAAATAATAAAAGAACACCTAAAGCATCAGATAATTTGTCAACACCAACTAAATCTACAATAATAATTGATATTAAACCAACATAACCACCAGCAAAAAATCCAAATAATCCAGCATAAATCATATGTGTTTGAACAAAAGAATTACAAAATGGTGCAAACATTGTTGCTATACCAGCAATTATTAATGTTATATTGTATAATATTAAACGATTAACCTAAATATAAAAGAAAAATGAATAGATTATATGGAAAAAAGTTGTCTTTTGTTTTCATGTTACCCATGAGCGATCAGCTAAATAACCGATAAGGACTCGGCCAAAACAATTACCTATACCAATTGACATAATAATCCAATGTCTTTTATGTTCAATTACTTGAGCATCAGCAGCTAAATCCTTAGCAAAATTGTATGGAACATAAAAACCAAGATTTGTTAAAACATTCGATATAACAAATAAAGCAAATGCAGCATCTTTTAATAAATTAAAATCAATTTGTTCAGCAATCTTTGTCGGAAATAATTTATTTTCAGCTTTTTTCATTGTTTCATTTGTCATATCACTTGTTTTTATCATTTGACAATGATATTCATCAGTATTCTCATTATATAATGGAATATTATGTAAACTACCTTGATAAAATACATCTTTACGCACAATTACTACTGGCAGATTCGTTGCCACTGTCTCGGATACATTTTTATGAGATCTCAAAAGAGTTTTGTCTATTGAATTATTTACGTAGAGGCTATTTGTCTTTAAATCTGATAAAGATATTCGGCGTTTATCATCACATTGACATTCTTGTTCAATATCAACAACAACAGTTGATTCTCTTGAAACTACACTTCCTTCTTGTGATGGAACATCACTAAAATAAAACATAAACCATTGATAAATCATGTGCAATGGTAGACTGTCAGCATGTTACAACTATATAAAATAAGAAATATATTTCAGAAGAACAAATCATCAATCTCAGTGGGTCTCGTGTCTTACGCATTGTCTTATCTTCATTCTCAAACAAGTCTTTTTTTCTTCACTAAAGTTCTTCTTATTTAAAGAATAAAAATGAATGCCTAGAATTTCTTCAATCTTACAGAAAGATATTTACAGAATTAATTATTGTTAAAAACATTCTTCACACCTTTCTCGATTCTTTGGAAGTAATTGCTTTTGTTGTTCATCATTTTGACTTGTTGCAGTTCCTAATTTGAGAGCTTGTCGTTTAGTTGCTGCTCGTGCTTTTCGTTCTACACGTCTTATTTCACTTGGTTCTTGTGGCAAGGGAATCTAAAAAAAAGATTTAAAATTTTTAAAGCTTTCTTTTTATCGAGATAAACAATACCATTAAAGCACCAAATATAACACAAGTAAAGATAACGCCTGCCTCAAGTAGAAGAGCACCTTCATAATCAAACCACAATGGTGCATTGATAACATATGGCATCACAGCTGGAAATACCAATGTACCCAAACCTGAACCACAAACCGCAATACCCATAGCAAAAGAACGTTTACTTTCAAAATAGAAACCAACAGAAACAATAGTTGGTAAATAGATTAAACCAAAACCAATACCTATTGACATATAAATCTACAATAACCAAAACACAAGAAGTTCTTTCAAAACCTACCTCCAGTAATACCAATCGCTAGATAATAAAACCAAAGATTCGCCCAAAAATAACTTGCTAAAAAACCAGCAGCACCTAAACAAGCTCCAACTGTAGTTACCTTTCGACATCCGTATGTATTTGTAAATATGGTTGCAATAGGTCCTAAAATTCACTATTACATATAAAATTCATCCTGAGGGAAAAACTTTTCACCTGTTACAAGTGTTATTGCCGATAAAATTCCAAAAATAGCTGAAACAGGTCCTCGAGTTTTGTTTAAATTATCCATCAGAGGACGTAAAAATATATCACCCATTGAAAATGTTATTCTATTATTCTTGAAATAAGATTATGATTTACAGAAAATAATTTACTAACCCATTCATTATAAAATTCAACATAAAAGATGCAAATACAATAATCCATCCCCAACCACCATCGGGCACAACAGCACCAGGAACTGTACTATGTGTATTACAGCCACTTGCCATTTTTAATCTTTCATTCTGAAAAAAAAACAGGAATAAATTAAGTGAGTACACAACTGTGCTTCTCGTTGTCGATAAACTATTTTACTATTTTTTAATAATAGCAATAAAATGATTAGATAAGAATCACTTGCTGTAGGGCTTCGCGTAAGATGAAACTTAATGCTCGTTAAATTTTAAATAATTTTACCACAATCAAATTCATATTTAAACAAGAAAGACCAGAGTTACCAAAACGCTATTTTCAAAACTGAAGAAACTTCGCAAAGAAACACTTGAAGTTCACCAGAAGTTCTTTTTTAAAGCAGGAGAGAAAAGGGGCATTTTTTTCGAAAATCAAAAGCACTTAGAAGCGTTTACTGAAGAAAATCTTTCATTTTCGTTCGCAGAAGCGCTAGCGACTCTCTTTTAATAAAGTAAATACGGTAAAATTTGCTGACAAGCTATATAAGAAAAAAAAAAGAAATTGGATTACATATAATTTACATTATTAATCCGTTCATATTCGCCATGAAAATATGTAAACAAAATAAACTAAACGTATTGAAAAAATAAGCTATTTACTGTATAGAGCGAAACTTTTTTTGCAACATGAGAGTATTTTTCTGATAACCGAATTTATTTCAACAGATCTATTTTATATAAGAGATATTCATAAAATTCTATACCATTGAAATCAGTGTTTATCTTAATTTTTAAGTCAGCGCATTAAAGATCATTTTTTATTTTTGTTCGGCTATTATTGTATGAAAATTTCACATGAATAAAAAAATAGATTGACAAAAGGCGTTTGAAGCCAGTAAAGAAAAAGCTAAGTCAACTAGTTGTTATAAATGAAGCATACTTTCATCTGGAGAAAAGCTCAAAAACCAGAGTTCTCCTGAACAAAGCAGAAGGTTTGGTAACTCTGAGAAAGACACCTATTTCGAAACCATTGTTGCAAAATACGTTTGCCCCATCCCACGAGGAGCTCTGCTGCGTACATATTTAAATGATGGCAACAATTTATGGCATCAATAGTCACATTCCTTCCATTTTTCGGAAACCCTCCTTTGCCCATTTTCTACTGCGCCTGCTATAGTCTTAAGATGAACATTTCGTCGGTATTCATTATTAGTCTATTTTTTACAGTCATGTTTTGATCATGGTGTGTTTCACATTATGTGATCATATTTCCCTCCATTTGGTACTCGTCTCTTTTCTCGTCTTTGTTCCTACCCTATTGATTAGCGCTTCAGAGCGTCACAAATAAAACACGCAAAATCAAAAAAAAAACTCCGTGTACATCTTTGAACGTAATAAATGTTTCTAATATCTTGTCGTTATTCAAAGTAAAAGAATGAGAAGAAACATCGAAAAATTATTTTCAAAAAAAGAAAAAAGAATTTTATACTTCAAAGAAAATATAAACAATTAAATACAGATTGTGTAAATTTTTTTCGCAAGTGATGTCAACGCTGCATAACTGATGTTGATAAGTTTCACATTATTTATCACCATATTTAATATAGAAACTAAAGTAAATAATTAATTAAGAAAATATTTTGGTTTTCTTGTTCTTCTGTGTCTATGTCAGCTGTGCGCTTTAGTGCGCCATACTGGTGCGCTGATTCTATATTCTTGTAGGTGTATATTCTGATCGGCTCCTTTTTTTAAGTCAATTCTCTAGCAATCAATTAAAAGATTGACGCTTAAATTGTTTTCACTCGAATACCTTTTATTAATTACAAAAACGCTTATAGATGAAATAATGCCAAAGTTTCATAAAAAAAAACAAGTTCTCTCTACTTAGTTACAAATCACACGTGTTAGGTGAAACCAAATATCGACAATGACAATTCATACATACCAAAGTTAAAGTGTAACGTTGAGATATGTGAACTAGAACATTGATCGAGCCGTAAAAATTGTTCTGACAAAAGCAAACAAGAAATTTACACACGAAAAACGAATGAAAGATATTAAAATAAACATTAACTATAAATTTCAATGGAAAAAAAATTGAACTTAAACGAAACAAGTGTACACACATATAGAAAGTTGAACGATTAAAGAGAGAAATATAACAGCAATAGTTATATTTAATAAAACACAAATTTTAGCAATATACGAACACGAAAAAAATCAGAAAATAGATGCTACAATGTTAGAAATAAGGACATACTGGCTAGAAATTTTCTTTGAAAAGTACAAAAAATATTTAAAAACTTTGGGGTATCAATTTATAATTACTCTCAATTTAATTTATACCTAAATAAATATAAACTTTTTTAAAATATAAATTATGAAAAAAAAACAAAAGTTAATATTTATTTTAAATTAATAGAAAAATAACACGTCTGAAAAAGTTGTTCTTTTGATTCTATAATAACAAACTTACTTTATCTGGAAAAAGCTAGAGCTTACTTGGAATAAAAATAATCTAAAAAAAAAAGAAAAAAAATTGTAACAGATGCATGTTTGTTATTAGAAAACTATGATGGACAAACGATAAATAGTATTTGAAAATAAAAATTAACCATTATGTACTACATACAAAGATTTTAGAAGAAATGACTCAAAAAACAACAGAGTGTATCCATCATTTAAACTGATTGGTTGAATTTTATACCACTTAGATGATTTGATAACGTGGTACGTGCACGGACATCGCGCCAGCGTGATGTGCGCTGCACAATATCATGCGAGTTGACATGAGTGTTTACAAGTTGAACAGTACACCATCTAGAAGTACTAAATAACCAAGGCAACGCTAGCGCATTGGTGCACCGAAAAGATTAAGGGACACCATGTATATGTTAGAGTTTAAAAAATATCATTATTACAGGTGTTTTATATTATTTTAAGAAAATTTTTTCTTTACTGATTTAGCAGAAAAAGTAAAGAGCGAGAGAAATTCGTTTTAGTTTTAGCCCTATAGCCATGTCCGTTCTAACGGAACAAATGAGGTTTAGGACCGTCGATATAAGTAATGAACTAAATTGAAATGAAATAAAATAAGAGAAAAAAAAAGAACAGAAGGGAGAAACAATAAATACAATATGAAGAGCAAATTCTTTCTTTCCTCTCATTCTTGTTCTCAAAGCCTTCTTTCATCTTCTCACTACTTGTTAAAAAAAGGAAGAGATATTATTGCTAATTGTATTATTGTGGAAATCAGCTGTATATGGTATTTTTCTTTTTTTTTGTCTTACTGCTATCGCATATTATTATCGATCAGTTGGATCAAAATTACCCGTGAACAGATTATGTATCAGGAAATTGTGTACAAATGTCACCCAGTGATGCCATTATTGAACCATTCTATGACTAAAAATTGATAATATAGAACATGTTTATATCTTAGAAGCAATAATACATTCTATTAAAACTTAACAGAATTTCTTTTAGAAGAAAATATTTCATACATTTAGTATAATATGAGATAATTATAAAAGATGATATTTTATAGATAGCAAAAAAAAATCTATAAAAAGATTTTTACAGAAAAGACACAATTATATATTATGGGAAATTTCTTGTTTTAACATCGTAGTAAAAGAACATTATATTACTCGAATTTATCTTGTGCTGTTGAAAAAGGTTTTCATTTACACTTGTTCTAATATAGACATTAGTTTGATGAATTCTGTTGCAGATGAATTTTGAAACTTAATCATGCTACTATGAAGTTTACAATAGAATAACACATCTTCTTCTGTTGTCTCCATTGAATCATTTTCATATTTACGACGCTACTTTTTTTCTTTGCCAAATTTTTGAAAACTTAATTAAATATCCTTATAAAAAAAAGAAATTTTCGAAAAAACGAAATTTAAATATTAGTATATTTATGCAAGATTAGAGTGTTAAGTACGAATAAATTTTATATTCAAATAAAATCTATTAAAAATAGGATTTCTCAGTACCGATTTCAGATCATTCCTTTCCGAGAATACATAAATATTCAGATGTAAAATGTATTCACAGTAAAAATTTGAGGTCAAAATATTGAGTTGAGAATCAAAAAACAGGTCTCTATTCTTTGTGGATTCCTTTTACAAATCTAATGATATAGATTTTGAGTTGTTATCGAATTATTGTCAGCACTTGCCGCTACAACTTTTCCTATTTGTCATCAATGTACAACATATTGAAATGATTGGAAGAGGAATCTTAACATGACTAAAATCAATCATAAAAATGTGCTTTTAGAACAAGTTGCTTTTTTTTTTCTTGATTTGTTCAATAAGTTTTCATTGGATGTTCCTGTATAC